CAAGAAAATATCAAGAACTTTAAAGTCATTCAAAATATAGTGTGTTAAATGATCCTGTCCTATAACTTTACAATCATTTTAAAAACTAATAGAATTGTTAAAAATTAATTTACTTCACTTATTTGCTTTCACTATTGCATTTGCTTTTGCCTATTTACCGCAGAGAACATTAGGCATGTAATATTTTTATGGTGTTGAAGTGTTTTATTTTCATCGAATTGGTTCATTCTAGAGGCTTGTAAAAGTTTTGCTTAGAGCTCTTTCACCAACGGTTAATTATTGACTATTTTTCGCTCTTTTATCATGGGTATCGGAATAGAAATACATGATTAAGGTAGAATGGCCGGAGGATGTGCTCATGTTATATAAGGTTATGTGGAACTAGCTTTATTAGTGTAGAGCATAATAATTTTTTACCGTCTAAGATAATTTGTGAAGGGCTAGGAATATCTCTGGAATAAGAGTATAAAACTACCCGAAATAGAATAATTCTGGAATAGCCCTGATGGCTAGTATTGTGTTAGCAATAAGTTTGCAAATAGGATTGTCTTTTTGAATAGTTATACAACATATATTGACATTAGGGCAGAAATTTTATTAAATTAGATGCATTATAGTATTCGTTAAAGCATATAATAAATTTTATAGCTGGTTTGACGTCCGGGAGCTAAGACGAGGTAGGCTACAAATTAGCTTACACTGCAGATATTTGAGATTCAATTTGATGGCTGATAAGCTAGAAAAGTAATTAATGATTAAGACAAAGTGTGAGCACTATCATAAAGAGATATGAATAGGCAAATGATAACGTGGCAGATCCACAACTGATGAATAAGACGGCAGCTCGGGTGGAAAATATAGTATTCATTGTCTAGGCATGAGCTAGATTAGAACAAATATGTTTTCCTTGCCTGCGTTCACTTGCTTATATGTCCACTTAATATAACAATTTGCTTATTTCGACAAAGCAAACCGGGACATTTGATATTTATTAATGTTTTTTACAGTCTTCAAATAATACTTAGCATTTTATTTAATAGACATAACAAACAAGCAGCAATTATTTTAAGAATTTCAAAATAGTGAAGCGAAAACGTACGAATTTCATTCTTATTGTTGAATATTGTTGCATATGCCAAAACATGTCATAAGAAGGTTAAGAAACATGATATAGAGATAGGTTAATTGAAATATACTTTGAAAATCAAGGAGTTAGGAGGAAATAATTTCTGCAATTAAAAGAAATATGCTATGCATAGTGCTCACTTTTTTACTTTGTTCAAAAATACTACTGAAGATGAGTACTGAACAGGGACATAGTTATCATGTTTTACATATCATAAGTTACGCATAATGCTTTATGATTACTTTCCTCTCCAATGTCTTGTCTTTTTTTAACTTTTAGATCTTAAGATATATATACATATTTATATATATAGCACTACCAAATCAACCAAACTTGACTAATGATGAAACAATTCTCCAAACAATGTGAAATGGGTTTTTATCTCGTATGTCAAGTTTATATGAGTTTTTTTCTTTATACTTACTCCCGGCAGCCTCTTTCTTCAGCTCTGCCAGTTTCTATATGCGGTGATCTGACAATAAATCTTATACGGATTTGTACCCATGCCTCGAATTGACGACGACTAATTTTTTCTGAACCAGGCTTTTTTTATGGTATGATTTTTTCACGGAGACAGCCCACTCTAAGGGCTGATCAGCATCATTTCTTTTAGATGGCAACCCATTAGTGTCTGTTGTTACTTATTACCAATTTTGCACTTTATTCGTTGGCAGCTGGCAATGTCAAAATATCACGTATTCACATTGAATAGGCTTCGATACTACACGATGACTAAGAACTGTATTCACGCTAGTTCGCATTAAATGATCAAGGAACTTTACCACAATCACATTAATAGGCTTTAAGTTGCCCAAATATTTCTCACAGACGGGCTTAACAACAACTATTATAATACAGTGTTGAATGCAATTTGAGCTCGGCTAGGCAACTCCAATAACAATATTTTTGGGTAGAGCAGTGCATATTATTAGCATATTACACTACACTACTATACCACAGGGGCGAGTAGGCTACAGGCCAAAAAAACAAATACATTACTTATATTCATATTGAATAGCATTTTCTTTGGAAGTAAGTATAAAATAACCACGCAAGTAAATGAATTCGAGAAACCTTATAAAAGCCTCAATATGGGAGATTCATCTATGTCTACTTAGTGTTGGTTCGATCTTGTTTTCCCAACTTGGTTGGAGCGCCAGGGAGACCTTGATAAACGTACCTAGTCTCGGGTCCTCTACCAGAGT